TTTCTTTTTTTTTTTTTTTTTTTTCCCCGTACAAATAATTCTCATCAGTTCTCACACTTGAAGCGTACGATTGAGAAAGAAATGGAAAGAGGTTTGGATTAGAAGAAAAAAGAAGGAATTATATGAAGAGCAGAGTGTGTATCGTTAATAATGCTTCATCAGAGTGAACTTACTGAGGGGCCTGGGAGGCTCCTCTACTTCTTGCGTGGTGACGTGCGTTGGACGGCCGACGGTGGTCACCTCGTCCTGGGTGTATGCGAGATTTTCTTGGCCCGAGAGGCTGGTCGCGTGGCTCTCCAGAGCTTGCAGCTTTTTCGATCCGCGTAACGATTGATTGAGTATCTCTTGCCTCTCCTCCTCATCCTTTCGTTTACGTAGCTGCTCCTACACAATCGAATCATCCGTTTACCTCTCATCTTTCATCCAACGCGATCCAAAAAAAAAAAAAAAAAAAAAAAAACATTCTTTTTATCCTCTGAAAAATATATCGCGACGTTTGATTATTAAATCGTATAAATCGGATTGTTTGCCTTCGCGATGACATTGTTACCGACATGGAATCGTTATGGATATATCGTTGTCTATATTCGAGCTGTTGTACATCGAATCTTAAGAGACAAATTTCATTCCCTTACCTCGTTCGTCGTATCGTGATGTCTTGCGTAATTTTGGAAAACACTATCTTCCGTAAACACACGATCGTTCCACGCGTCATTCGACATGAAGGAGGACACATTTATAACACATTTATCACGAGATTCCGTTGAATATATAACGTTGGAATTATTTATCAATTATTTCTTGGCATACCTTCTTGCTGGGTGATTTTAACTTGGAAATACGATTTAAAAAGTCATGCAGATTCTCTCACACTCGTTCACACCTATCAGGACACTTATCAAGAGCGTTATAAATAGCGGGTGAGCAATCGAATAATAATAACGATAGATGGAAATAACGAGCTTTCGATATAGATTTATCGCCGATATCAATATCGCGCGATTATTTTTCCTTAAATCGAACGCTTTTACGCCGAGTGTTCTAATATTCGTGAACGGTGGTGCGTCGTTATTGGCGGCCATTTTTCCTAACGCGTTTAACGAGGGACAAATATAACGATATATGTGCACGTGAGTAAGCAACGTTCAAAATAGTGTAACGTAAAAAACCCAAGAGACACAAGTAAACGTTCCATCTAACGTGAAGATAGCATTTGTAATTTGGCTAGAATTGCGATTATCGATTATCGATATTTTATTCGATAGTTTTTGATATATCGTTGAAGTATCGAAACAAGTGAGTGGAATTATTATTTTATTAAAAAAAACTATATTTTATTTAATTATTTTGAAATAATAAGAAACAAAAATAAGAATTTTTCGATTTATCGACGGTATTATGTTGTAATCTAATATAAATCATCTCGATATTTTGAATATATTAACAAATCAATAAAATATCGTTGGATCACATTACAATATTAATAATATTAATAATATTTCGAATAAGAAAAAAAAATAAGAACTCTAGTTACTGTTGTTCAAACGATATTATCGATATATTCGAATTATACTCGATTATTATACATCGATATGTTCGATATATTGGCGATATTATGTTACATTTACTTAAATCATTTTGATATTTTAATAAATTAATAAAATATCGTTGGATCATAATTAACTATTAAAAATATTAATAATTAGAAAAAAAATAAGAAAAAAAAATAAGAATACTGATCGATATATTACTGACAATATATCGACATTATCGATATTTATCGACGATATAACAATTCTATTCTCAAGCGACGAACGACGAAAATGCAATTTCGATCGAAAAATATCGAGCCTGTTTATCCAAAGTAGCGACAAAATCGTTCGCAAACGAAGCTACGAGAGAAAACCGTGTCTGACAAATTTTGCTCTTCCCCTATATCTTGTTTCCGTAAGCGAAAATCTTGGGCGGAGAAGGTTGGAACTGCATCGGATTACAATCGACGCGGTTACAGCGATCGGTGTTGAACGCCCACCACGCGATAAAGTGCGTCAACCGCGCGAGAATCGTTCCACAACCAATTTTTACGTAACCGTTTCGAGGTCTATGGCGTATTATTGAGAAATAGTTGGACGAAGCCAACCACTCGCGTTACACGTGTGGCTTCCCGTATGTCACTTCTTCGCCTGCTAGATGGATTCTGGCAACGATATGCGATTTTGGCTAGAAAATCTACTAAATATTTTCTTCCCCGTGGCTGAGTAAACCACACGAAAATTAAATAGAGATCTTAACGACATCAAAGAAAGAGTGGCATAAAAATAGAAAAAACTTTTTCGTTTACACGTTCCTCGATATCGATTTATATAGAATTTTCTTATGGAAAATTTTGAATATTCATCACGATCAATACACGACTACGATTCTAATAAATTCGAGTCAAAATTTGAAAGAAAATGAGAATTTTCGCGGACACGGGTTCTGAGAGAAAAAAGTAAGAAATTTTTTTCTCTTTTTTTTTTCGAGAATAATATCCTCGAAATTATCCTCGAGAAAGATGACTCGTTATCGCGAAGCGGGACGGATGTTTCTGGTTGGTTGGCGTTCCGTAGGTATCTGGTTTTTAACGAGTAGAAGAAAAGCAGAGAAAGAAAGAAAGAGAAAAAAATTCCGGACTGGCCGTAAAGCGGGAGAGCGAGGTCAGGGTAGGGAAAAATGGCTCAGTTCGCCTATACTATACCTATCGAAATTTACCACTCGTAACGTTACACTCGAGTCTCGTGTAATCTTAGACTATCGTTACAAGGGGTTCTTTACATTCCAAGCCACACTTGACTCAACGTGCATGAGGTGAAGGAATTTTGTAAAGACAAACACGTCGTCGGCTCGATTTTCATCTCTCCAAAGTTTTCTGTAGATCTCGACGGGATCCACGTCGATTCGTCTATGAAACGAAGATGAGAATGGAAATTTGAAAAAAAACGTGGAATCCAGTGGAAACTGGTTCGTTCGATAATTATCGCGTCCGGATCTCGTAATTTCCTGCCGGAACGTGGACAATCGTGATCGGTACAACGATTTCGAACAACGTATTCCCCGCCTTTGCCCCGTTACGCAACGCTAAATTATTCGTGCGGAATACCACGTGCGATTCTTTTCGCACGCCCACTAAAATATCTCTCCTCTCCGCCAACGTTCTCATTTACTCGTTTACAATAAATCCTCGCTCGATAAAAATTATGTTTTGTTTGGTAAACATTCTTTTTCCGTCGATTACGCGCAATTATCGCCAATATGTCAACACTTTTATCGAGACTCGTTTAATAAATCGCGAAATTTCTGCTTTTGATAAACGTTACTTTTCCATCGATTATTTGCGAAATTATCTCGATTATTTTCGCATGTCTATCTAAAATGACTCTCTTTACGAATCTTTTCATCGTTTTCATACTCGTTTAATATAAATCGCAAGATTTTTGTCGGATATGATTTCAATTCGTATCTCCCTTCGGTAAACATAGTCCGCTCTCCGATCAACGAGAGAAAACGTCGAATTGAAAGAACCAACTATTCTTATCGCTAATTTCACCGTTGAATTATTCACCGATTTCTGTCGCGCGAAACGTTGAGGTATTCATGAAGCAGATACGAAGATGTAATCGCGATATATATTTGTGTCGAAAGAAGACGAAGAGAGGAAAACGGACACGGTGTATGAAAGAAAAAATGGAAAGAAGAAGAAAAGAAAAAAAGAAAAGGCTCGTACCTGGTATTTTCTGATGGAATGCAGTTGTTGTTGCGTAGGCTCGGCATTCGCGTTATCGGTGCTCTCCACGTTATTGTTCTGCGTGGACAAACGTAGGTTATCTTTCGGCGGTCTGGCAGGTGCCCTCTTTTGATCTCTCGGGGGGATGGCAGGTTTCACCCCGTTCAGACCGGTCTAAAAATCCGTTTCAAAGGGAGGAAAAAAAAAACAGAGGCTCGCATTAAAGCAACCCCAAGGTACGTACAGAGGGCGCCGCGATCGCGACTATCCCCTCCCCCCTCCCTTCTCCCAAAAAGAAAGAAAGAAAGAAAGACAATTTTTTCTCCTCCTGTTTTTGATCGTTCTTTTCTCGATTCTTCTTTTTTTCAAAGAAGTACCGTACCCCTTTCTCGGCCACGTCGGAAGAGCAACGATCGAGGGAAAACGCGAGATTATTGTAACAGAGGAGGAAGAAAAACACATGCAATAATGAGCACGTGCACGTGTATATTACCTTTCCTCCTAAGAGTAAGAGACGGTCGCTGGATCTATTTCTAGGATTTTCTTTCTATCTACAAGCTGGGCATGCTTCTAAAAAATTCTAAGCTCTCTACGCATGCATTAATTAACTCTTGCTGAATTTTTCCCCGATTCAACTATCGAGGACAAAATTTGCAAGAGTTTGTAATCATGTTCCTCGCGAAAGAAGAAAGCGAAAGGGCAGAAGCGAAAGAATTTACCTGATTTACCTCGGCAACCTGATGATGATGATCGCAGCGATGGCGCGAGGCGTACGTACGTATTATCCTCCTTCTCCCCCGATCCGGCGTTCCCGACTCCTCTTCTCTCCTTCCCTCCGAGTTTTCCCACGAGTTTGACCGCGAGAT